AAAGACTTGAATAGGCATTTCTCCAAAGAACAGATATAAATGTCCAACAGTTTATGTGAAGATACTCTGTGTCACTTGGGAGATATTTCAGATGTCCATTTCATCTTTAGAGAAACACACAATAAGAAATCACCTCATACCTGCTAGAATTGCTGTTCTTAAGAAAATAAGTATTGGTAAGGATGTGGATAAATTGGAACCTTGTACAATATTGGTACCCTGATGCTGGAAAAGATTGAAGGCAAAAGGAGACGGGTGCATCAGAGGATGAGGTGGCTAGAGAGCATCACCGACTCAAAGGACATGAATTTGAGCAAACTCCACAAGATAGTGTGGGACTGTCTGTAACCTCGTGGGCTACATACGGTCCGTGTGGTCTTAAGAGTTGGACGCAACTTTGATTGCAAAGAATTGGACACAACGCAACTGAACAATAACAGCACAATATTGAGGGGAATGCAGAGTGGTACAGCTGCTATGGGAAACAGTATGGAGATTCCTCAAAAAATTAAAAATAGAACTACCTTTTGATCTAACAGTCTGCCTTCTGGGTATTTTTCCAAAAGAACTGCAGTCAAGATTTTGAAGAGGTACTAGCATGCTACTACTGTGTTCACTGCAGTATTCACAGTAGGCAAGATGTGGAAACAACCTAAGTGACCTTTAACAGATGAACGGATAGAGAAAACGTGGTCTTGTGTGCTCAAGGATGGCAGCAGGCCCTCACAAGCTGCTGCTTCCCTCCGCCTATCCCTGCCCCACCCCACCCCTTTCCTCCATTCTGGACCCACAGCATAAGAAACTTTAAAATACTGTTGAAGTTAAGGGCCCCAACCATCCAGAGTGGAAAATCCACTGTATAACTTTACAGTCACCTCTTTTGTATCTAATGTTCTGCAGATTCAAGCAACTGTGGATGCTACAATAAGTATTTATTGGGGGGAGAAAAATTGTGTAATGTTGGGCACATGTAGTTCAGACTTGTGTTGTTCAAGGGTCCCCTGTGCAAATCTCCCATGATAAGCAAATTCAAGTGGCTTCTGGTTGCACTTAAAGGGAATGTTAAAATTTCCCTTCTCTAGGAAAATAATTTCAATATATGTCAGTTCTCTTGAAATCTACTTGATTTTACGTATTTGAGCACAGAGTAAAACACTTTACATCAGTCCTTAAGGGTGTAAGGTTGGAGGCAGGGCCCATTTGTGGCCTTAGCATGGTGACTAAGAGCCTAACTCTAGGACTAGACTACTTGGATCCATGTCCAGCACGTACTGACTAGCTCCATGGCCTTGGGCAGCAAGCATACTGGAGTGGGTGGCAGTTCCTTCTCCAGGGGATCTTCCCAACCCAGAGATTGAACCTGGGTCTCCCGCATTGCAGGTGGATTCTCTACCACCTGAGCCACCAGGGAAGCCCAACTTACCCTTCTTTGTATTATCAGGTTAATAGTAGCATGATAGCATTTGGAAGGTGCCCAGCATCTAGTAAGTACTATACATTAATAGTTAATTTCCTGTTAATTAACAGTTAATTTTCCCCTCTACTGTCGAGTTGCTATAATAAATATGCTTTACTTTTACAACACGTAAATTTAGAAAATAGTTTTAAAGAAAAGGGGAAAAAGAGATCCAAAGATATTGGAGGGCGGTTCTTATTACTGCTTGCAGGGCACTGTGTGACACGCCCTCGCCTATTATTATTAGAAACTTCATCTTACACTACTTTCCTTTGCTATTCTGGACTCCCAGCACCCCAGTCTTCTCATTTCCTGCAGCCTGACCTCTGCTCATCTTCAGGTCTCAGGTCACAGTGATTTCTCATGAAGCCCTTTGATTGGCCCCTTAGACAAGGCCAGATACTCTTGACCTCATAGAACTTTTTTGCTCAAAACAGCATTTATCCAAGTTGTAATTACATATTTCCTTGAGTGATTGCTTAGTACCTGACACTCCATCCCTTGATGAGAACCTCTCAGAGGCTAAGACTGTTCGCCTCACTCCCCATTCCATTGCCAGTGCCTAGCACAGCAGTTGAGAAACTGAGAAGGAAAAGTGTGCCCACAGAACCACCAGGTCTGTGTGGGGAGCCCCTAGGCCCTGTGAGGACCTGGCAGCAGGAACCCTGGGGAGGTGGGGGGGCTGCTGTGTTTGGAAGGATATTGTCATTTCTGGCAAGGTTTTGAGTTGTATCCAGATCTTGGGGAAGCTGGGGAAGGATGTCAGCCAGGGCCATGATTATAGGATTGGATTGCATTTTCAAGCGGTTACTCCAACACCAGGGAGGTGGATGGGTGGGTGGAATACGGAGCCAGACTGTAATTCAATTCAGGGATGAAAGTTGTTGATGCTCAGAACTTAAGACAGCAGGGATGGAGCAGAGGAAGCAACTTCGAGAAATATTTGGATGGAAGGACTGGTAATATGTGATGGGGAGGATGGAGGAGCTGTGTTGGGGATGATGAAGACAACTTCCAGGTTCCTGGCTTGTATTTCTTTGTGGATTATGACTTTCATTTGAGAAGTTAAGAAACAGCAGGTAAAAAATCAGATTTAGAGAGAAGCACAATGAAATGAGACTTAGGTATGTTAAATGCATGTGAGGCACCCTTGAGGAATTGTCCAGTGGAGACTTAAAGTAGAATGGGCTCAGGAGACACAGAGAGATTTAGGAGATGTGGGTGTGGATGCTGAAGGTGTGGGTGGGTGGTCCATGCAGCAGCCATTCCCACAGGCTCAGCCCAAGCCCATTGTCTTCTGTAAAGAAATTTCAATCTACAGGGATGCCAGTCCTTCTGCCTGTTTTGCCCAAATTATACAACTGCCTAAAACATGCTAACTTGGGCTATAGATAAAAGTTTTCTGTGCCCCTAAAGATAGCCACTCAAGCATTTTTTTTATTTCAGTAGTTTTTCTTAGGAGCCTGCAGAGAAACTCTTAGGAACAGAAATGTGAGTCCTGCCCCGTGAGCTCTCCTTGCAGCACTGGGACAATGTTTTCACATAGTAGGTATGCAGGACTCATAGTAGGTGTGCTTCTTCAGCCATTCATCATGGGCTCCAATACTCTTGCATGGAAAATTCCATGGACTGAGGAGCCTGGTAGGCTACAGTCCATGGGGTCGCAAAGAGTTGGACACGACTGAGCGACTTCACTCACTCACACTAGCAGGCACATCAGCAACTGGTATGAAAGCAAAGAACATAATAAATTTTCATGATTTAGTGTTAAATAAAATTAAGGATGAAACCCAGTATGTTAGTCAGACTTCTCCTGAGAAACAGAACCAATAGGATTGCGGTGGGGGGCGGGGGGTGTATGTATGGAATAGAAAGAGATTGGTTGTTGGCAAGTAACAATCTGCAGGCAAGAGACCTAGGGAAGAGTTGCAGTTCAATTCTAAAGGCAGTTTATTGGCAAAAGCCCCCCTTCCTCAGGGAACCTGAGTCTAATTTCTCAAGGCCTTCAACTGATTGGATGAGCCCCAACCACATTATAGAGGGCAGTCTCCTTTACTCAGTCTTTTCACTTAAATTTGTCAATCCAATCCCCCAAAAACACCTTCACAGAAATTTCTAGAATAGTGTTCAACCAAACATCTGGGAGCCATGGCTGAGCCAAGTTGACACTCACACAATTAACCATCACACTCAATAGGCTGCCCTTATTTGTGCCATTTGCCTGCTCCAGAGAAGCTCTGAAGGGCGGCAGATCTATAAAAGACAGTTTGATCATCTACAGCTTGTATGTAAAGTAGCCGAAACATCCACAGTTTTGAGGGCTTTAAAGAACCAGAAGCCTTTACTACTTACATAAAGTTCAGGAGCTTTGCTGTTGCGTTAGAGGTAGTTAAACATCATGGCTTCCTCGTTTGGTTCTGTAGTTTGCATTGCCTTTCAAAAGGGAAGTGCATGCCCTCACACTCAGAAATCAACATTTCTTGGTTTAGTTCCCATTTTACAGATGAGGAAACTGAGGCCCCAATATTAGGTTTCGTACCAATTTCTGGCCATTAAATGGCTGGGTTGAACCTAGGTCTTCTCATTTTAAATCAAGCCTTTCTTCTCTCTCCCTAACCCCTTGCTCCATAACATTTTATTTCTAAAAGAAGAGGGAGGGGTTGTGAGAGAGATTATGAATGAACATGAGAATGAATATTTACAGAACTCCTACCTGAATTCAGGATAGGAAAAATAAAAAATTTTACCAGATTATGGGCTTGCCTTGATCCCTCTGGGGTTGCGGCTATTTCACGTCAGAGGAATTTAGGTTTGCCGTCCATTCCTTTCTAGTTCGGCATCATGGTTGACTATATTTATGGACAAATAAATATGGAAACGCTAAAGAAACCACCTCCTTCACTCTCTGGGTCACCCTCCCTCCCACCCCATAGCATTTAAGAGTGTTTTCACAGTCATCGCGTCTGCCAGGTTTGGATCCCATGTTATGCCTCCTTCCACTTTGTTTGGTTAGTTAGCTAATGTGTTTTGCATTCAACCAAGGAAATTCAAAATACTGTCTCCAAGAGAGCCAGCTAAGGGAGAAGTGCTGTCCAACTTGAGTGAGTTCTTTGAGTGATGATTGAGCAAACCACCCACTAATTTTAGGCTGGGAAAGGATGGGGCACAAACCGAGTTTTCAATAGAAAATAACGTCCTGCTAAGACGTCCTGTGACCCTTGGAAGTATCTTCTGGTTCTCCAGCTCTTGGCCATTCGGAAGGTTCATATCCCTACTCATTATCGGATTAAGTGTGGTGAAGACTTTAGTTTTGAAAAGGTAACTTTCTACATTAGATCATCTGGATCTCAAAGGTCATGAAAGTGAAGCTTGTCCTTCTTTCCGATGACTAATGTAGGTGGGAAGCAGTTGTCCTCAGGCACGCGTAAGTGGATGAGCTGAGCCATAGCACACAGGGCTACAGACTTTTTGTGTTACCACTTTCAAGCTTATATAGCAGATACCGAATTGTAATGCAAAACGTGTGTTCATTGGCTGTACTTACATATGTACTGTAACTTTTCACAAAATCTCACGGTGAACATCATCTGCCTTGGTTTCATTTGGTCTTGCACAACAAAATTGCGTGTGGCTTTGTTGGTCCCGATTCTGGCATCTTTTGGAGCTAAAAACAAGCCATCAAAAATAAAACATATGTTTTCCAGGGATGGATTTCCCAGAGACAATACAAAAGCATAATGTATCCTTGCATGGAGCAGAGAGATGACATTTAATAGTTTATAGTTTTGAACTGCTTAGATTGCGGATTTTCGTGACAAAGCAGTGTAGTACTTGTCTTATAAAATAGGTGGGAAAAAGGTAACATTCCTCTAAAGACCCCTGGACTGCATATTTTTAGCAATTACCATTTTCAGTCACTTGCTCTGAGGCAGGGGACTGATTCTAGCCCTCTCTGTTACCTTCATCTGCTAATATTATTTAATCCTCTTAACCTGTAAAGTCACTGGTAGGATTCTTTGTAGATGAAGTTTCAGGGAAGTTAAAGAGTCTCTCCAAGGCCTTGCTGCTGGTCAAGTAAAGTTCTTCTGGTCTGAAGCCCAGGCTTTTTCTAGCCTTCAGCTTTGCCTCATTACAGTGTTCAGATTGATGTCATTAAGTTCTATGACCGTTTACGACCCATATTTGATTTTTAGTTCAGCAGAGCATTTGACTGGGAGGTAAGTCAGAAGCAATGGAAATTTGGCTTGTTGAATCCTATGGTTGCCATATGCTAACTTTAATAATGAAATACTAAAAATCCCTGTGTTTGCATTGTTGATGGCAATCAATGTTTCAATTAAGAAAAAGTATATTGTCAGGGGATTAAGATATTTAATTCAAGAAGCATTTGTGGAGCCACCAGTATTTGGTAGGTGAGGTGTGATTGATTTTTTTCACGCATTGTATCTAATTCAATTTATACAACATTCCCGCAGTTCTTAATTGTTGCTTGTTTACAGATAAGGAAGTAGTAGTAGTTCAGTCGCTCTTTGCGACCCCATGGACTGCAGCACACCAGGCTTCCCTGTCCATCACCAACTCCTGAAGCTTGCTCAAACTCATGTCCATCGAGTCAGTGATGCCATCCAACCATCTCATCCTCTGTCGTCCTGCCTTCAGTCTTTCCCAGCATCAGAGTCTTTCCCAAAGTCTTTTCCAGTGAATCAGTTCTTCACATCAGGTGGCCAGAGTATTAGAGCTTCAGCATCCTTCCTTCCAATGAATGAATATTCAGGACTGATTTCCTTGAGGATTGACTGGTTTGATATCCTTGCAGTCCAAGGAAACTCTCAAGAGTCTTTTCCAACCTAGCTTCTAAAAGAATAATACTTGAGGAAGGATGCTGTGCTTAGTCGCTCAGTCGTGTCCAACTCTTTGGGACCCCATGGACTATAGCCCGCCAGGCACCTCTGTCCATGGGGATTCTGCAGTCAGTAATACTGGAGTGGGTCACCATGCCCTCCTCCAGGGAATCTTCCCAACCCAGGGGTCAATCCTAAGTCTGCATTGCAGGCGGATTCTTTACCATCTGAGCCACCAGGGAAGCCCAAGAATACTGTGGAGTGGGTAGCCAATCCCTTCTCCAGGAGATCTTCCCGACCCAGGAATCGAACCAGGGTCTCCTGCATTATAGGAGGATTGTTTACCAGCTGAGCTACCAGGGAAGCATACACGACTAGTAAGTGGAGCTGAGGGCTGCACTGGGGTCTTCTAACCTCACTTCCATCACTCCTGGTCCAGTGTTAATATGAACAGTTTACAACGTGCTCTGTTGCTACTGTGGTCACCCTGCCATCTCCCAACCCAGCATCAGCCCAACCCATCCCTTGTCATTTGCATCCCTCCCTCGTGAATTTCAGATAATTTAGGCATTAACCCAGGAAGCATTTCCTGAGTTGTAACTAGAATTGTCGATGGGAAATCATGCATCTAAAGAAAGTACTGTATTATGCAGCCATTAGCGGCTTGTGGAGGGACCTCTGCTCTTCAGAATTCATTTCACAGAAAGCAGTGGAGTTAGCTCTCAGGCATTTCTGAGAAATAAAGACAAGCAATGGATACAGTGTAGTTCAAATCAGGACAACTCATTACATCTGCTGTGGGTATTTAAGGAGGCCTGAGGTAATTGAACATGGTAACGGGGCCGCTCTATCAGAAGGGTTTCACTGACACTTGTTTTGTTTTGTTTTGCCCGAGCCCATAATTGCAGAAATATTCTCCCATGGTGATTAGTTCCCAATTTAAAATGGACTGTTTCATTATAGGTAACTCCATAATGAGACCAGTGAGGACCCAAGCTGTGTGCTTTAATGATAGTAATTCCCTCCTCACTTGCTGCTTGACCAAGTGCACAGGGAAGATGGAAAGCAAAGCCTTCCCCTCAAGTCCTGCTTGAATCACAAGAAAAGAGGAGGTCGAATTACACTGCATTGAAGGTCCCTTCCAGTGTTAGCATTCAGTGATTCTTTGGAATACTCACCAAATGGAAGTTCCAAAATTGATTCTGATTTCACACCCGTGAGGGAGGAGTGCCCACAATTGAATACCAGATTAGAAGCTGTGGAGAGGAAATAGTTGTCTTGAGTGAGTTCTTTTTATTGGAAATCAGCCTTGTACTACTGGACAGGAAATTAAGTTCTTGTCTGGGTCATTAATCATTGTGCTGATTTGAAAACTGGCAGTGGCGGGAGGAGGTGGCTATATTTGAAGAGGAAGAAAGGAGTGGGCAGAAAGAGCGATCCTAAAAGCTCCCCTGTCCGAGGGTGCATTAGCTGGCAAAGACGGTGATACCAACCACCCCGGCAGGTACAGGTATCTCCAGTGTTTCTGCTGAGTCTCCCACACGTCACCTACCCCAAACTGTTTCTCGTTTCTACCAGGAGATGAGAAAGATAGATAAATCTAGGATTTTCACTGAAGAAAGGCAGAGAAGCGATCATGTAATGGGGGTCACGTGAAAAGTAAAGTGTTAGTTGCTCAGTCATGTCCTGCTCTGCAGCCCCACAGAGCCTGCCAGGCTCCTCTGTCTGTGGAATTCTCCAGACAGGAATACTGGAGTGGGGAGCCATGCCCTTCTCCAGGGGATCTTCCCGCCCCCGGGATCGAATCTGGGTCTCCTATGTTGCAGGCAGTTTCTTTACTGTCGAAGCCAGCAGGGAAGTCCAATGGGGACCATATTTCCCTCTTTAGCTCAAGAGGGATGTTTGAGGGAGGAAGTCAAGATTGGCATGTCTTTAGTTCTTTTCAAAGTTACATCGATAAGAGACAAAAAGAAAAAACAAAACCCACAGCAAAAATATGAGTAATAGGTTATGCCACGTCAGGACAGCTCGTGTCCTTCGAAACAACTCCCATCTTTTATGGTCTCTCTCTTCCTAAGTGGAACTCCACTCAGAAAACTGTTGGAAAACCACATAAAGTTGGAGCTTTCCTCTTGGGTTTATAAAGTATGGAGACCATCCTTGCTTTCCTTTTCCATCCCCCCGCCCCCAGTATGTAACTGTTTGAGTGTTTGCACTTTTCTATTTATTTTTCCTCTAAGGTGAGAGGTTTTGGTAAATAAAACTTGGCAGCAGGTTTTATTTCCACAAAAATTACAATTGTGACATCTCAGGGTGTCATCTGTCTCCAAGCTGTTCCCACTGGAGTCTAAATATACCAGTGCGCTTTCTCATCATTCCTCGGAACTGCCTCGGAAATCTGCACCCCTCAGGGTCTGACTAAGCCTTCAACAAAGCTGTCTCTTCTCTTACGGTTTTTTCTGGTGGGATAGTGGCTAAATGAGGTTGGGAGTTGAAGCATTTGGCTCGGTTACAGCTTGTGTGGGGTGTCACTCTTTCTCTGTCTCCAGACACCTGCTCCTTTCTGGCTGTAATTTCACAATGTTCTTAACTGCTGGGTGTACAATATGGTCCTTAGCATCCTTGATGAATCCTGCCCTGAACCATCCTTCTGAGCACTGCAGGGGCGGGCCTGCATGGTGATGGTGGAGCAGAAATAGACTTTTGCCTTCTACCTGCAGATCACACTCCAGCCTGCACGCAGATGGGCAACTTTTCTCTGAACTTGTCACAGCTGCTCTCCCACCCCACCCCCCTTGGTGAGTACCTAGATATAATTTCCAAAATTAAAAAAAAAAATGAAATCACCAGATGATGCATCATGTCAGTGAAGGAGGAGTACTTTGAGCACCTGCTGATGAAAAGAATGAGATCTGTTGGCATGAAGCAGCCGCCTCTTCACAGGAAGTCACATAGACTTGCAGTATTTGGGGTTCTTTCGAATGAAAAAGAGTAGGCTAGGTTTTGGGCTTCCCAGGTGACTCAGTGGTAAAGAATCTGCTTTCCAATCCTGGAGACTCCCTGCATTGGAAGGTTCGATCCCTGGGTTGGGAAGATCCCCTGGAGGAGGCCATGGCCACCCACTCCAGTATCCTTGCCTGGCAAATTCCATGGACAAAGGAGTGTGGCAGGCTAACAGTCCATGGGGTTTTGAAGATTCAGACACAACTGAGTGTGCACGCATAGGCTAGGTTTCCAACTTGTTGAAGTTTATCTGCCTAGCCCTAGAAGTAATATAAGTGACTCAGGAACTCTTGATGTTCTGACTTGGAGAACCGAATCCCAACAGTGCCTGGAGGGGTCTTGGTTTTCTCAGCCTGCACCCCCACCTCCTGAAACCTGACTCTTGAAGTCATGATGACTTGTCTTGGTCCCAGCCCTGGTCTTCTCCGATTCTGCTTCTTGACTGTGTAACGCCAGACACCAGCAGGAACCATCCTTGAAACGCCCCTGCCTTGTCTCCATGACAGTCCACTTGCCTGGCTTCACTTCATTGTCTCCATTCCTTCGGTCGTCTTTGGCTCATCCCTGCCGTGTGGGTCTCGAGATTCAGTGCCTGTCTCTCACTCTCCCTCCGTCCCTCTCTCATTCTTTCTCACTCCCCTCTGCACGTCTTCCTTTCTCCACAGAAAACCTAACCCTCCGGGCTTCGACGCCACCTCCTGTAGGTGACTCGTTACTCTTGACCTCTCCCATTCCAAAGCTCTGCTGCCGCTGAATACACTTCCGCTTTCTTATTGTCTCAGCTTCAGCTTAACTAAGGAAAAGAACTTTTTTTTTTACCCCCTGAATCTTGCAGGGTCTGCTTTTGTCACTGTCATTTCGGCCCGTGGCCTAGGCCACCACGTTGGTCACCCACACTCTTCCCGCCTGTGCGGCGTTCCCAGGGGGAGCTCAGGAAGGCTTCCAGGGACACGAATGGATGAAGCACCAAATGCCAAGCCCGGGGCAGCCCGCTCTTCTGGGCTTATCCCCCGAGTCGTCCCCGCTTCCTGCAGGCGGTCGGTGGGGCGGACCCTGTGCCGTCACCCCGGAAGTGGGAACAGGCATATCGCCGTTTCTGTGCTCTCAGACATCCCAGGACTGACTGTGCCCTGCGGAACAGGCAGAGGGGCCGGACTGTCCGTCCAGGCTGCCTATGAGGGCAGCCCCCTTGGGGGTTTCAGGACCGGCGTCTTCTGCCTTCCCTCCTCCTTTGTGCCCCCGTTTTTGGAGTTGCGGGACTTGGGTCTGGGGTGCTTTCTCTGTGCCAGGCTCCTGTGGCCTGCCTGGGGGAGGAGAGTACACATGGCTGGCGTCGGGTTTGGCACTGAGTCCAAAAGAGGGAGAAGAGGAGCCAGGACCCCGTGTGCCTGACCCGCGCACCTCAGCTCAGACGCGCTGGCCGCCGGCGCCCGTTCATTCAGCGGGTCTGCCGCGCGCACCGGAGGCGGGCGGAGCAACACGCGGGCCTCTCAGCCCCAGTGCTCACCCGTGCCAGGGAGACATGCTCACTCTCTGGTTCTTACTTAGCTGAACTGTGAGAAGTGCTTCGAGCGTGTGGCACGCACGCGCGGGTCGGCGCTGCTTCGCCGTGCTGTCTGCCGGCGAGGGGTCGGTGCCGGGTGGCCACCAAGCAGGGCGCACGGCCCGTGGGCTAGAGGGGACATCCCCGGCAGCAGTGTGGCCAGGTGGAGGGCCTCCCCCCCGGCTTCCCACCTGTCGGCAAGCCCATCGGGCTGGCCCTGCCGCTTGTCATTCCCGCCTGCAGCGCCTCCTGCGCCCGGGTGTTCTCACCACCTGTTTTGGTTCTCCGCACCCTTCCAGCTCCATCCACATCCCCGAATGACCCGAAGCCCAGCCTACCCTCAGGGTCTCCATCGTGTCCCACTTTCACCTCCGTCCCAACACTGGCACCGTGCCCTCTCTTCTCTGATAGGTTCTGCCGGTTCTGTGAGGAATTGTGTTACGAGTTCTCGAACTCCATAGGGGCCCTGGAAGTAGCAGAGTCTCAGTCTCCCACGCTTGCCCCTAGACAGTAAGAGTTGACGGTGGGCCCGGCAGGCTGTGTTGGCACAGCCCTCTGGTGATTTCGATGTACACTACTTTGGTTACCACTAGTGGTGTGTCTCCCTTAGAATTTAATGATGTGTTGGACTTCGATGGCGGTCCAGTGGCTAAGACTCCCTGCTCCCAATGCAGGGGGTGTAAGTTCCATCCCTGGTTAGAGAATATCCTGCATGCCACATGGTTGCAGCCAAAAAAAAACATTTTTTAATTAAAAAATAAAGAATTTAATGATGTGATCTTATTTCTTATGAAATTTTCTTATTTTCTTATAAAATATATCTTATTTTCTTATGAAGTGTGTTAATAGTTTGTTTCCACAATGAAATTATTAAGTCCATTATTTTGCCAACATTCATCTTTTTTACGCAGTGTTATTAACAGGTTAATATACATTGGGATGGGCTTGCCTGGTGGCTCAGACGGTAAAGAATCCGCCTGCCATGCGCAAGACCTGGGTTTGATCCCTGGGTTGGGAACATCCCCTGGAGAAGGGCATCACAACCCACTCCAGTATTCTTGCCTGGAGAATCCCATGGACAGAGGAGCCTGGCGGGCTGCAGTCCATGGGGTTGCAAAGAGTTGTACACAGCTGAGAGACTAAACACAGCACATACATTTAGAGCCCTGGGATTTTCACCAATTTCCATGTGACTAGTAATTTCATCTTGGTCTGCTTAGGAATCCATGGTATAAGTAAAGCAATGGTAAATTCTTCACAGTCTCTGAAACCAGTTGAGAAGTTCTTATTGGTATAGAGTATGTAACACATACTGTAACCCCAAAACTATTCTTTATGGGTCTATTAAATAAGTGTGGGAGAGAAATGTTTTAAAGATGATTAGATTTTTGCTACTCACAAAATGAATGGTAATAGAATTGAAGGAAGGTACTTAGTTTGATGGAAATGGTGAAATAGAACGAGGAACAGATTTTTTGTGAAACAAAATACTTGGTGAGGTTGGAAGATATTTCCCATTCACTTCAAAAGCTAGGGTCTGGTTATGTTGGCATATATCTCATTGGGGGACTGTGTGAATTTTGAAGAGAATACTGTATGGCAGCGGTTGTTTCCAGAAAAAATATTTTAATGTGTTGATCAAAGTCAGTGCTTGACCTGTCAGATATTCAGAGTTTCCCCTTCTTTTCTTCTTTTTTCCTTCCCTTCTTTTATTCTTTTCTTCCTGATATATTAAACAAGCATTAAGAAGTGATCGAGTTTTCTGTCTAGAAATAAAAATGTGGGGGAAGAGTGAATTTTATCCTGTTCCAGGATGATGGTTGTTTACCTTCCTACCTTTATATATGCAACCATTTAAGTGTGTCTCTTGTGTCTTTTTTCTTTGGATGCGTTTTTACAAAAGTGCAATGATTTGTGTGCAAATATTTTAGGTTTACATAAATTATACTTTTTAAGTCTCATATTTCTTTTTTTTCCCCCCATTCGGCACTGTTCTAAGGATGCTTTGTGTTTTTAAAATTCATTTTTATTTTAGGGCCTTCCCAGTGGCTCAGCAGTGAAGAACCCACCTGTTATGCAGGAGATACGGGTTCAATCCCTAGGTCTGGAAGATCCCCTGGGGAAAGAAATGGCAACCCACTCAGTATCCTTGCCTGGGAAATCCCTTGGACAGAGGAGCCTGGTGGGCTACAGTCCACAGGGTCACAAAGAGTCAGACACGACTTAGCGGCAACATTTTTATTTGACTATCTGTTCATATGCTTTCCCAAAGGTGGGCAGCGAAAGTCATGCATTCTCTTTATGCTCCTGTTTGAACATTTTTTTGGGATATGAACCCTGGAATGAAATTGCTGGCCATAGAAATATGTAGAATTCATACATACCTGGGGCCAGATTGCTTTCCAGAATGGCTGCTCCAGCCTCATTCCTGCCACAGTCTAAGAAGATTCCTTACCCACATCAGTAACAAGTATGATGTGAAGTAATAGCTCTTCATTTCCATTTATTTGACCATTCAGTTTCTTGTCACCTGCTTGCTAGTCTTTAGCAAAGCCTGCTTATTAGTCAATTGTCTGTTCATTTTCTGGCCCACAGTTGTGTATACGGCGGTGTCTTTTTTGGTCATATGCAGCGTTTCATTGACTGATTCAGGTATCATTCTCTTTTCAATTTCAGGCTTTGCAAGCCATTATCTGTTCCATCAGCTGTCAGCTTTTCTCATAAAGTCCTTTACTGAACCAAAATCCTTAATTATAATGTTATCATTATGTGGCGCTATAATCTCCGCTTCTGAAGCCCTTCTTGGCCTGTAGGTGGTGTCAGGTAGGGATTCATTTTTAGTTTTCTTCTGTACAGGGAGCCAGTTTTACCACATCAAAGGCTAAATATCTTTTCCAGTTATCTTTGTCACATTACATAATGATGCCTTTGTCTTCCATTTCCCCAACCCTCTCGAAATTCATTCATTCCATAGGAGTGTTTGTATAAGTCAATATGACTCAGAAAGCTAGAAGAATAAGCCGCCTCTCACTGACTAGTAATAACACTCTTGAAAACAATGTCAACACATCCTTATTCTGGCCTTGGAAAGTTTCAACTAGACTCCAGGTGGGAATAGAGTGTCAATGCTGAAAGAAACTATTTGTTGATGTTGTCTGTTTTATTTACAGGGAGTGGATAATATCAGCTAGCATAAATTCAGGTCCTACTCTGCTTTATCCTATAGTGATTAGGTTTATCAATCATCTAATCATTTTAGATTTATGAATTATTTACAGGGCATGCGAAAGAAGCATGCTCCCCTAAATTATTCACGTCTTAAAAATTGGATTGGCATTGGAAAAATTCAAATGTGTGTAATTTGCATTTTTCTTCCCAGTAATCTGTGAGTGTTTGAAATACCCCCAGCACTCTGAACATTGCCTTGAACAGAGTACTAAGTCAATCAGTCATGTTCTTTGAACTATTATATTAGTTAAACTAATAGTTAATATAGGGAGGGAAAATAAACTCAGACCTTATTTTCAATTCTCTTATTAAATCCTAAGAGTGAAGAAACAGTATCATCTTTTGTTGCTGTTTAGTCACTAAGTCATGTCTGACTCTTTTTCGACCCCAGGTACTGTAGCCCACCAGAATCCTCTCTTTATGGGATTTCCCAGGCAAGGACACTGGAGTGGGTTGCCATTTTCTCCTCCAGGAAATCTTCCTGACCCAGGGATTGAACTTGCATCTCCTGCTTGACAGACAGATTCTTTGCCCCTGAGCTACCAGGGAAGCCCAGTGTCATCTTACTATTAAAAAGTGCATAGTGCTCTTTGCTAAGTATTCTTGTACTTGCATGGTCTAATTTAATCTTTGCAACCATCACATTAAGTAGGTGTCAACCTTAGGTATTGGAATTTTTGTTTGTTTTCTTTGATACCTGTTTTCTTCATTATAAACTAGTATTGTCTAAGTATAGTAAATTTTCTATGTATACTCTTGTACATGGCTAAATACTGGGCTTTCATCCCTCTTCCTAGGGGCTGAATATTAATTAAAATAGTGATAAGCCTTTGTATCAACATGGACATAATCTACTAATTTTCTGATGATTCTTATTTGATAGCCATCAAATTGATCCTTTCTGATTAGCCATTTCCATTCAGCATCTATATAGGATCTTAAATGTTCTAAATTCATACAGTAGCCTTCTGACATCCCTGGCATGTTAAATGTTTTTGCTTTTTATTGTATAGTTTTAATAATACTGCTTTCTATCCTCACTCATTCAAATTTTTACTTTTCCTTTATTTTTTAAAATGTAATTTTACTTATTTTTTTTTTTTGGAAGATAATTGCTTTACAATGTTGTACTGGTGGTTTTTACTTTTAAGGAAATAAAACTCTAAAATCAGAAAAGGAAAAAGTCAAAGACCCTTAGAGTAGTTTCAGAAATCACAGTCTCTGACTCAGCCCTAATTGTTCTTTTAAAATCTCCCCCAGTGATTTGGGTTTATTCAAAGCCTGGTCTTACATTAGAAGCAAGAGTATTTTTATTTGGAACGTGTTTCTGTGTCCTGACAAAGTCAATCTCCTCTGTGAGAGTCCTTCTTTCCAGCCTTGTTTATCCCATCAGACATTCCTGCCAGGAACAGCCCTGTTTACATAACTGCCCTCGTTGGACGGAGTATTTTACTGAGCACAGCCCTGCACTCACACCACAGCCTGTTTAACATGGAACAAGCACAGATCTGAAGCATACTAGAGAATGCTCAAGAAGCTTGATGTGTGGCAAAGAAAAGTGGAGGCGTTTGGGTAAAAATGAAGCAATGCAAGAAGGAGCAAGAACAGGGGCTTGTCGTCAGCAGAGACCAAAGCAAACAAAAGGAAAGAGGGGTGTGTTTTTTGCTGGGAGGGGCTGGAAGGGAAAACGTCCTGGTTCAGGAGTGTGGGACAGCGGTGTCTACTGTTTGCAAGCATGCCATTCAAGAAACAGGCTTCCCAGGTGGCGCTGGTGGTAAAGAACCCGACTGCCAATGCAGGCAGACATAAGAGACCTGAGTTCGAACCCTGGATTAGAAAGATCCCCTGGAGAAGGGAATGGCTACCCACTCCAGTATCCTTGCCTGGAGAATCCCATGGACAGAGGAGCCTGGTGGGCTACAGTCCATAGGGTCACAAAGAGTCGGACACGACTGAGCGTGACATGGCACACATTCATGAAACACTTCATTAGAAATGGAGACCCAGGTCTCAGAGCCATAGCATGGCTATTGCGTCTCCATTTTTTAATTAAAAGAAAAAGGTTTAACAAGGACGAGGGGCTCTTTGTTATGTAGGGCCTTTTCCTTTGACTAGAGTTTTCATCTTTTACTGTAGTCTTGACTGATTTCTAATAAGCGTAGGACTCTCATCCACAACAGTGTGGTCACAAATCTATTAG